CACTTGAGGCAGATTACAGATACCTCCCTAGAAGATCTACTCTTTCATCTGCTGTTGGATGGGCACAAAGGAAAGAGAGAAAGCAGAGGCCCTATAGTGATACATCAGTCAACTTTTCTATGATCAGCACTGCTTGAGATATACCTCTTAATTTTGATATGTTTTCTTTTCTATCATTTGATGTTCTTATGTATGTTGTGCAAATTGGTTTGCGGGTGCAGGTTGGTTTGGGGGCCAAAATCTACTCACAGCTTACTCCTGGCTCTGTGCTCAAAAATCATTTCTGACAGGGCTCAGGGGATCACATACAGTGCCAGGGATCAAACCCGAGTTGGCAGCATGCAAGACAAACATCCTAACCTGTGCCACTATCTCTCTGGTCCTCAGATTTCATCTTTAGCCAACATATTAACTTTCCCAGTGTTTTGGGAAATGTCCTATTTTCTTTATGCTACTGATTTTTAGTTTTATCCTGCTGGAGAACACATCTCATGAGTCTAACTGAAGCCTTTTGTGTGGTGCAGAGAGTAGTCTATTTTGTACTTATTCAGCACCACTTTCTAGGATGTGTATTCTGCTGTTACTGCATGGAGTGGTATACAGATGTCAACTAGATACGTTGTTTGATGCATTGTTGAGTTTTCAATAGTGCTTCTGATTTTCTGTATAGATTTTTTTCAACTGTCAGGATACGAGTTCTGAAGTTTCCAACAATTGTGGATTTGTCTACATCTCTTTCTACTTGTCATTTCAGCTTTCCACATTGTGCAGTTCTGTTGCCCAGTTCATACACACCTAAAATTACTATTTTTGATAGTCTGACCCTTGTATTATAATGGCAGTTTCTATCTCTGGTAATTTTCTATCTTCTTAAGTTCACTTTATCTGACATTATCAAAGCCATTCCTGCTTTCTTTTGATGTTTATAAAATTTTTTTCTATTCTTTTACTGTAAGTCTGTCTATATTTTTGTTTTTGAAGTAAGTTTCCTGGAAACACAGTATAAATGGGGCAGGATTTTTAATCTGCACTGATGATCTCTTCAAGTTGGCATATATATTAGTAAGTATATATAGATCCTTTACTTTTAATATGATTATTGTCATTTCTGGATTAAATTTGGTCATGTAATTTTTTGATTGTTCGTTTGGTCTCTGATTTTTGTTGAATTTTTTTAATCCTTTTCATGTGGGTTACGGAACACTTTGGAATTTTATTTAAATATGTTTTTCTCTCCATTTGTGTGTGTGTGTGGGGGGGGGTTACATCATAATTTACCATGCGTTAAAACTATTGCCTGCTCTGTGCTCAGGGATCCTGCAATGCCAGTTCAGATGGACGCACCCTAGCCTTTATAACATCTCTTCAGATGGATCTATAGTTAGGATGACACCTTTCTATAGAAAACTTTTAGCAGCCACTGTACATACAAGTGCATCAACATTTATCAACAGGTGTCAACACTTTATCAGACCGGGTGAAGTGTGGAAGCCTCACCTCCTTTTCAGCCTGCAATACAATTAGCTTGGATCCTTCCTGTGCATATATTTATAACTAGATCTGACATTACTCTGTTTTATGCTTTAGCCATCAAAAAAAATTCTATAGCCCATACCTATTTATCATTCTAGTTATACATATGTATATCTAATGTGTAAATTATAAAACTAAAGCATCATAAACCTCTGGGACAGTGTATTAATTACACCAAGAAAAAATAAATGCATTTAAAATATACAATGTTCAATATGATTTACCACGGAAAATAGGTGAATTGTTTTAAACAGATGCGCTTTTCATTTGCTTATTTTAAACTCCCAGTATTTCACTACTTCAGTGAACACATCATGACATCAAAGGATGAGAGAAGTCTTGGCCCTTGGGTCGGTTCCCAATGACACTGTATTCATAGATGGGAGGCTTGAGTGGAGTCACAAAATACATGTGAGTTTGAAAGCCACCAAGAGAAACCACGTAAATATTTAGGTACTATTAAAACCGTACCTTCAGTCACTATTAATGCAAAAGCAGGCGATACCAAGTTTTAATGAGAACGAAACAGCTGGAATTTTCATGTTATTGGCAGGAAAATAAGATGCCAGTGCCTAATTAAAGAAAGGGGTCATTGACAGGCCTGCAGGTCACCTTGCAAGCTGAACCATTTGCAGGATCCTTACTTGGGGTATATATTCAGCCTATCGTTTCCCATGCTAACAATTATCCTAATGATAGAATCTTGAGAGAACAAGGTTAGGCCATCAGAACTGAAAAGAGGTTGAAGCCATTTAAATCTACAAAAAGTCTCCTGGTCAGAGGTAGAGATCTAATTACCTGGTGGCTGCCCAAGACAAGCCCTGTTTGTGAATATCCTGACCTGTGAAAACTGCCACTCACTTCTTCAGTGTGTTTTGCCACTTTCCTTAGTCTATCCTTTCCTTGAAATTTGGTGCCACTTATTTTGTAACTGATGAAAGAAATTGTCGTTTATGTCAATGTTCTTATGATACAGTCCAGGAATTAAATATCTGGCAATTACTGGGATGCACTTTACTAAATTCAGATTTCTGGGCTTTCCAATTGATCTCCTGAAGCAGATCTTATAAGAAAACATGATGAAAATCCCAGGAGCCCTCTTTCTATCTGCTAGAAAATGACTGAAATTGGTATAAAATCAGCAAAGCCCATTTTGCACTAGTTTCAGTGGTTTTCTAGCAAGCAAAGAGGCTACCAGCTAGAGTTCCAATTTTTTGACTATGTGTAATTCTACTTTCAAAACCAAGCTGTACCATGATCAAAATTACTGCATAAAGACTGCTGTTAGCTGAAGAGAACTCTATGTTATCTTTCAATTATTTAAACAATTTTACACCAATCCTTAAAAATAAACTACTCATGCCCTTAGTCCAACCAAATCAGTAAAATACTAAGTATATAAATGTGCTGTTTGTTTCTCAGTGAGGATGTCCTATAATTTTATGAGACAATTTTGTCATCATTTAAAATTCATCAGTGCAGAATTAAACTGTGAGAATTTTTTAAAGAGTGAGCACAAAATCAAGATGATTTATTTCCTAACTATGCCGAAAGTTTACATGTATTTCAAACATTTAAAATTTCAAAAAATTACACATATTACCATTACTTGGAGAGAATAGTGGGAGTTTAAAATAAAGTAAATATAAAGCACATTTATTTAAAACAATACTTATTTTCCATGGTAAATTGTACTGAACATTCTATATATTAAATGCATTTATGTTTCTTTGGTGCAATTAAAACACTGTCACAGAGGGTTATGACACTTTAATTTTATATTTTACTCATTAGATATACATATGTATAACTAGAACGATAAATACATATGGGTTATAGGATTGTATAATCCATAATCATTATAACCATTAAAAGCAAAAACAAGTAACCGAATAGCTCGAGCAATTCTACCTCACTGTGGGCTTGCTTTGTTAACATTCTTTTTTTTTTAAATTTTTATTAGTGAAACACCATGAGGTACAGTTGTAGACTTACAAATTTTTGTGCTTGGGTTTCAGTTATACAATGATCCAGTACCCATCCCTCCACCAGTGCCCATTCTCAGACAGATAACCAAGACAGTCACTGTAGGAACTTATCGCTGTACAACAATGAGTTCCAGCTAAAACAATTAACTTGAAGTTGGGCAGGAAAACTCCAAGAGATTTAGTGAAATCTTGTTTATCTGAAACTGGTCCTAACTAGAGAAAAGAACTATCTGTCCCTTGTCTTCCTCTTTCTTTTTGTGCTGGTACATTCATTCGCATTATTTTATTTTTCTCTCTGCAGTTCTCATTCTCTTCAATTCTAGAGAGGAGTTCTATCCTCTAGCTCTTTCTTCAACCACAGTAGGCAGCCTGGGAAATGTGAACCCTCGAGAACAACCACAATAGGGTGGGGGTAGTGGGGATCACATGCCAAGCTTCTGAAGCTCTCTCGTTCTGAGTCTGAGTTCAGCTGCAATAATGGACCAGAAGGGTAAGGGATGTTCTTCCCCATGGGGCCCGCTCCAGGCAACCGATGGGACGTTTCGCAGGTGCTAGATTTCAAGTCACCCATTTTTTACTCCTGTACCTCATTCTTTCTCCCTGTGTGCACGCGTGGAGTGTGTGTGTGTGTGTGTGTGTGTGTGTGTGTGTGTGTGTGTGTGTGTGTGTGTGTTTGTCAGCAATTCTTTGACGGCGAGAGAAAACAGCTCAGATATACACGCCTCCTTCCCATAAATACGTGTGTTTCCCGTCCTTCCGTCCTCCCGCCCCCCCCCCAACCCCGCCCGCGAAACCAGGCTCTGCCTGTCCTCGGGGTCTGCAATGAAAGGGAAACTCACCCCCACTCCCATTCCCACCCCAAACCAGACTTCGGCTGGGATGTGCAATGTAAGGGAATCTCCTTTCATCTGGAGACCAACGCCAAGGGGCTCAGTTTGCCAATGAATCAATCCCATTCTGCACCCCAGCACCCGATCGTAGCCGACTCCTTAAAAAGCAGTTCAGTTTTCCCTTAGTTAATCATGCTACTTCCCAGGGCTGGCAGAGACCTCCTTCGCCTTTGGGGGTTTTATTATTACTGCCCACAGTTCCCCCCACCCCGACTCCAAATCTAAGAGGATGCGAATTCGAGGTCCGAGAAAGTAGGCGCGTGCCAGATCTTGCGAGTGTGTGCATCCGTCCATCCGTCCGTCCGTCCGTCTCAGCAGTGGGGCGGGCGGGGGAGGGGGGGTCTCATGCATGCGGCTGCGAGGTGCGGGGCTCCGAACTTCCCCAGCAAGCCCGGGGCCAGGCCCCGAGTCCACCTGTGTGCGCCCAGGTAGCCGGTTCAAGTGCCCGCCGGGCCGGGACGGGGCGTGCAGTGAGTAGAGCCCGCGCGCAGGGGCGCCCGCCGGGCGCCCCCCCACCCCCACCCCCTAAACCCGGACCAGTCGCCCCGGTTGCCGGAGACACCCGGCACGAGCCGGCAGCGCACTTTACCTCGAACAGGGGCCCGATCCGGTTCTTCTCCAGGTACGCCTGGATCCGGGACTGCTGCTGAGACGCCATGGAGACGGCGCGGAGCTGGGGGAGCGCGCCCCGCCTCGGCGTCCCCGGCCGCGCGGCCCGGGCTGGGCACTGGGCTGACGGCGGGACTCCCGCGGCCGGCGCGATCCGCCGCAGATGGGGGGCTCGGAGCGGCCGCGCCTCTCCCCTCCGGGCGGGACCCGTTCCCCGGCGAGCGTGTGCGTGCGTGAGCCCGCGGGGGGTGTGCGTGAGGCCCCGCTCCCCGGGGGACGGGAACCCGCCGCCCCGGCCGCTCCCCGGCGACCGCCGCGCCGCGAACGCCAATAATAAAGGCGCTTCTTTCAAAGTGCGCGTGGATTCGATGCTTGGGGACCGCTCCTGGGCCGGGGGTCCGTCTGGCCGGGCTCTTCTGAGACGACCTGCTCCAGCTCTGTGAACCAGAGAGAGAAAGGGGTGGGGAGAGGATGGTGCGTGGGGCTGAGGGTTTTGCCGCGAAAATGAAGTCGCTTGCAGCAAGCCAAAAAAAAAAAAAAAAAAGCAAAAGCAGGTGATTCTAAGGATATGCTGCCTTTTCAGGGCTTACCCTAACAGAGAGATGCAGCGGGAGCAAGAGGAGGTCTGGAAGTAACTTAAGGGCAAGGAGCCTTGATCCCCTCCCTGGTACAGAAGCGAAATGTGTGTTTGCATCTCAATCGCTAGATCCAACCAGATCTTAAGCACCCGAGATCCAAACTACTCAATTAACTTAAAAACTGTGACTGTCTAGGAGTAAGGATGGGGGTGAGGAAAACCTGGGGTCAGCTGCGGAGGAATGGGATCACGGGATGTGGAGATATTGTGTGCTGAAAACCCATTCTACACAACTATAAAAAATCATGCTGCTTAAACAAAAAGAAGGGGGAAGAGGAATGTTAAGGGGGAAACAATAGAGCACCTGGTTTGGCTGGAGCAGATCTCCCCGTTGAAAACCCACTTGAAAACTTCCAGTGTGCAGAAACACAAGGCTAGTGAGCAGACCCTGAGTTTTGGGTGGAGGAAAAGGGAAAGGTAAGCCGACCCTCTCCCAGGCTCTCCTCCCTCGTCTAAGCTGTAATTTTTATCTCTGTATCTGGTGCGTCGTCTCAGATGATACACTATTCCTTTATCTGATGGTTCCTGTACATCTTTTATGAGTGCCTCTAATATAGCCAATATTTTTTTTTGTATTGTGCAGGGATTTGCCACTGGAAGAAGCTCTACAAACATTGTTTCTTCACAGAGTTCTCTTTCTTGTCTATGCTGTTATTGCTGGTTCTTTCTTTCTCTCTCTTTTTTTTAAGAAAATAGCAAACTCTAAGTCCTCTAGTGACAATTCCCTTGACTCCTAACCAAAATAATATGAGGGTTTAGGATGAAGAGAATCCTTAAAACAGAGTGTAATACATTTCTGTGGTTTGTAATTCCTTAATTGTATTGTTTAGTTCGTGTGTGTTTTACATAATAAACTTCTATGGAACCATGAATTGTTAAGAATGAAATGTTTCAAACAATAGTGTTAATTGCATTTAATAATTCAGATAGGAAATCTGTCAGCTAAGCTTAGACCATGCCCATCACTGATAGATAATCCGTATTTTGGGCATGGCAAGTTGAAAAGATGCCTGTGTTACTAATTTTAGAGTCAAACTTGGATGATTTGCCCTGAGAAGATTAAACTAAACAGTGAAATACCCAAAGTTCTCACATGTTTTCTATTATATGTCAAAGGTGTACTTTTATATGTACACATATGTGTGTCTTTGTGTATCTTAATCTACCCAGAGGAAATCAGTCTACGAAATGAAACCAACATCCTTATTTGCTATATGATATGGCATAGCATCATTTATAATCCAGTTAAAATGTCAAATAATTTTGGTACCAAACAATGTTGAAGAATTATCTTTTAAAAAACATAAGGAAGAGTCTTACTTAAATCAGCTTAAGTAATATACTTATTAACTCCCATGCTTAGAGCACAGCATCTAGAATAGAAAAGTTCAGTTGGAAAAAATACTTGCATATTGTGACATATAAAGTGTGAATATATATATACACATATGTATTCATGCATGTTATGACACCTAAGATCCAAAAATTACCTGTTTAGAATTCAGGAAATAAGCTTAATGTTTGTTTACGATCTATTCATAGGCCATTTTCTCCACAAAACATTTCTTGGTCTTTCTTCTTATCCTCAAACATGACTTCATTACCTCAATAAATATTTATTGCACATGCTCCATGGTAGACATTACGTTAGAACCAAGGATTCAAAGGTGAAAGGCATTATCTTTGTTTTTAGATATTCAGTCTTATTGAGGTAATTGTTATATATACAAAGAATGACAGTAGACTGTCTTGTGTTAGTACAAAATACGAAAACAAAACACTGCGTGCATGGAAATGAGCCATGTTACAATTTGCAAGTAACTTTCAATAAAAGAGATGATTCTGAGAAAAGTGTTAAAGTATAAGTAAAAATAATAAGTTTCAAAAAGAGGTTAAGCATCTGAAGTTGGGAATAATGTTTCAGATTTTGACAAAAAAGAGAAAGCTTTTGCAAAGGCACAGAGGCAAATTAGTTCTTGGAAAGACAGGATGTATATAGAGGAAGGTTAGCATATGAGGTTAAAGTAAATAGAATTTAGCACACAAAACTTTTTAATGCCTTGTTAAAAAACAAGGCTATTAAAAGTTACTCGAGAATTTTAAGCAGAGAAGTTTAATAATCTAACTTTTAAAAGGCTACCTTTGGTACAAAGGATGATAGAACGATATGGAGCTAGAAAGATCAATTTGGTTTATAGAATCCAATAACAAATCGTGATGGCCAGGCTTAGGACTGGAGATGTGGGAATTGAGAGGAGACAAATTTGAGAAATGTTTAAAGAATTATTTGTTTATGATTTACACTTAGGATAAGTCTGGAAGAGTAAATCAAATATGACTTTCTGATTTCTGCAGTGAAACAAAGATTTTATACCTTGTCCAAGTAACCTAGCAAATAATTGAGAGGATGATTTTGACTCAGGTTTTCCTAACTCCAAAACTGAAGCTATTTCTTTTTTCTACCTTGTATTCTAAAAAACTAACCAAGAATCTAGTGTGGTCATAAGGGCTTTGTCTCAGTACTTGGCATGTTTTAGGTACTGAAATATGCCATTTAATGAATAATTTTTTTTAAAAAAATTTAATAGGGGCTGGAGAGATGGTACAGCAGGCAGGGTGCTTGCCTTGCACTTACCTGAGCCTGGTTCAGTTCCCTCTATGGTTCCCAGAGCCCCTCCAGCAGTGATCCTTGTGTGTAGCAATAGGAACTAGCCCTGAACATTGCTAGATCTTTGCCCCATAAAAACTTATGTTCAATTTTAATAGAATGATGACATTTAGTTATGTTTTTTCAAGCTAAACATTGAATCTAACACATAGCAATCTGTTCTGTTCCATTTATCAATTGCATGTATATGTTGATCCCTCTTTTAAATTGCAAACCCTCTAAAACCATGAACTGTATCTTAGTAATTCTCTTATACTCCACAAGGGACAACATAGCACATTTCTATACTGTATATTTCTACACATTTCTATACATATCCTTAATTAATATCCTAAAGATGAAGATTTTAGGAATTTGTCTACATTAGTCCCTTTAAGATTGATTGAAAAGCAATTATTGTCATGGATAATAGTCTTCTCTATCTATGACAGTACTGTGTGATACTTTTCCAGGGATCAAGGATTTTTGTCTTGAGTACAGCATAAAAAGTGCAGTTTCAGTGAAATTGTTTTGAGTTCATTGTGTTATAAGAGTGCCTGTCAGCATAATTTACAAATATACAGAATCTAATTTATAGAATGTTATAAAGTCCTTGCCTAACTCCAGTTGTAAAATGCCTTGCACAGCTCCTTAAACAAATAACTTTTGACAAGAGACAAAAGAACAATGAAGAGCAGTTGACCCTATACAGAGTCCTGGAATGTAGTTTATCCTATGTCATGCTTTTCCCTTTTTATATACCTTTCACCTTTCCACTTTGTAACAAACTTGGACAAATATCTTCACAAAGAACTCAGTACTTTCCAGGATTACAAATTTTGAGTTTTCCGGTAGATAGGCAGGAAGAAGTAGAGCAGAGAAGCAATTACGTGGAAGTCCTTCTAAGTGAGGGACTTCACAGATATAATTTGATTGCAAAATCTAAATTAATAGAAAATGAACATTATGTTTAATTCATTTTAAGCTACTACATTGTGATTTATATATATATATATATATGTAAAAAAAGGTAAAGGCCCTCCCGTTGATCGTCGATTTGCTCGAGCGGGCCCAGTAACGTCTCCATTGGAGACTTTGTTGTTACTGTGTCTGGCATATCGAATACTCTCGGTAGCTTGCCGGGCTCGTTTTGGGAAATAATTGCTCAAGTGGGCCCAGTAACGTCTTCATTGTAAGACTTGTTGTTACTGTGTTTGGCATATTGAATATGTCATGGGGAGCTTGCCAGGCTTTGCCATGCGGGCGATATACTCTCGGTAGCTTACCGGGCTCTCCGAGAGGGGTGGAGGAATCGAACCCGACTGGGCTAGCTGTGCGCAAGGCAAACTCCCTACCACTGTGCTATTGCTCCAGCCCCGGAAATAATTAAAATGCTTAAATTACATTGGACAGTAATACGAGTGTTTATTATGCTAAGGTACTTTACTAACAAATATTAATTATAAATATTGTTAAATTTGAGTTTAGCATAAGACTTCCTATCTGTTAATATGTGTGAATGGTGGTCTAGCATTCTCTTAAATTTGATTATCTCATCAGTTGTTCTTAGGAAAAATTATAAAATGCTTTCAATCTTTAATTATTGAGAATACTAACCTTGCATTCTAGCCCAAGAAATAGACTTTGCCTTTTACTAACTGTGCATTTTTCCCTCTGCACTGCCTAATTTATCTAGCCTCCAAATCCTAATCCTTAAACTGATAACAAATAGTACTTGGCTCTTGAGTTTATTATGAAAATATTTTGAGATAATACAAGAATCAGTACAGGACCACGCAACAGTAAAGATTCAAGAAATAGTCAACGCTTCTATTATTGTCACCATCAGTTTTTATTTCATCACTATAAATACCTAACACTTATAAAATTCATACATATAAGCCATTTACCAAAAAAGCCATAAATATCTTGCAATCAAATCA